GCCGGCCTGCCAGGGGAGAGACAGGGAGACTTAGGGCCAGGAGGGAGGGTCAGTGGCCTGAGGTGAGGGGAGCGAATGTGGCCACAGTTGGGGGCACCAGGAGCTGGGGCGAGTGTCCCATGTGGGACTGGACACTGAGCAACTGTGCCCAGGGACGCAGCCCCTGACCACTCGGTTTTCTCCCTGCTGTCTGTCCCTCAGACCTAGTTTTTCTCTGCTCTGGATAACATTCCCTGCAAGCCCCTCAATTTCTCCTGTCACGTAAAAGAAGGAAAAGGACCAGAGGCACTTCCATGTCCTTCACAGTAGTGCCATTTCGGCGAACTTTCCATCCTTCCACCCCTGCCCCAGTTGGGAATTAGGCCAAGGTTGGGGGATGTTACAGCCCATTCCTCAGGAGCCAACACCACGGCCCCCTCCCTCCCCCACCCCACGGCCAGCAGCACACACATTTGTTTCTTTCAGGATGTCCGGTGGTCTTTCACCCCTAGTGTCCTACACCCTGAAAGGGTCACAGATTTGATCTGAGAAGCCCATCTGATAGTCCTGCCTTGGGGGGCGGGGTGCAGGTGCCTGGCACCTCCCTTCAGAAGATGGAGGTTCTGGTTATTGTCGGTTTTCCCTACTAAACCCCTGGGGATTCTGCTGAACCTGGAGCAGAGACAGTCAGAGCCTTTTCAGTGACTTGCCACCCTGTCTCCAGAGACTGACGGCAGTCGTCTCGATGATAAGCTGAAGAGGTTGTGCGGGCACAATCCTGCGGTTCGGTGTTGCCCAGAAGCTGCGGGGACAGCAAGGGTTGTTGGCAGGGTGGCCAAGCCCACATTGTGGTAACACTGATTGGTCTTCTAGCCCAGGAGTCTATTTTGCAAGCTTTTGTTTTTGTAAGTGGGAGTCCCCCCTTGTAGCCAAATCTCATCGCCCTTTGCCACCCAACTCTTGGGCTCAAGGTCAACACTGCCTTCACACAAGGCAAGACTCCCCACTATTGCGTAATTGCTACAGAGCCACCAAGTATAGAAAAGATGTCTTTATAAATAGTATTCTGGGAAACAAAAAGTCCATTTTCTTATTCCATCACATTGCAGTACACCTCCTAAGTGTGCGTGTGCAGAGTGAATATGAAGACTCAGTCCTTGCCCTGCGGGGCTCACGCCCATGACACATGCCAATGTGGAAACAGGTGTCACCAACGTGCTGTGACCCTGACGCCCAGGAGGTGCTGTAGGGAGGAAGAAGTGAAGGCTCCCTGAGGCTGGCAGGCACTGACAATGAAGACACATATAAAATCAATGTGCTATAAAAAAAATGAAGTCAGCCAGGTGGAGAAAGATGAACACTGATTTCACTCACCTGCAGAATAGGAAGAAATCAAGCAAACAGGTGAATTAAATTAAATAAAAATAAACTTTTGGACCAAGCACCAATTAATTTGTGGTTAGCGGAAGGGAAGAGGGTCTGGAGAGCATAACCCCATGGAAGGTTATGGGTAGAACTGGTCTTGGAGGGGTGAGCTCAGGTCTATAGACCCACGCAGATTTTCAGTGATGCCCACCTGAGTCCTATACAATGTTATAATGCAGTGTTACTTCCATAAGTAAATAAAAACATAAATAACAATTTTAAATCCATTTTTAAACAAAAAAATCAAAAATAAGAAAATGACTGTGACAGTAGTCGGTGGTAAGAACCACGGAAAGGGGGGGGGGCGAGGGGAGGGTACCCGCAGGTTCTTCAAGCACCCAGCTAAGGAAACAAAGCAGGTTTAGGACAGGACAGGGCTGGGTCTCGAGAACCGGGCCGTGAAGACTGGACAGCAGCGTGGAAGGGAAACTGACTTGGGACATGAAAATCCCAAGCGTAAGCAAATGGCCGGGCCCAGGGAGTGGGCCGGGCCGGCTGTGTTTGGCTCAGTCCCAAGAACA